ACCGACTGAGTCACAGAGACTGACAGTCGCACACCGACTGAGTCACACAGAGACTGACAGTCGCACACCGACTGACACACAGAGACTGACAGTCGCACACCGATTGACACACAGAGAGACTGACAGTCGCACACCGATTGACACACAGAGACTGACAGTCGCACACCGACTGACACACACAGACCGACCGTCGCACACCGACTGACACACAGAGACTGACAGTCGCACACCAACTGACACACAGAGAGACTGACAGTCGCACACCGACTGACACACAGAGACTGACAGTCGCACACCGACTGACACACAGAGACTGACAGTCGCACACCGACTGACACACAGAGACTGACAGTCGCACACCGACTGACACACAGAGACCGACAGTCGCACACCGACTGAGTCACAGAGACTGACAGTCGCACACCGACTGACACACAGAGACCAACAGTCGCACACCGACTGAGTCACAGAGACTGACAGTCGCACACCAACTGACACACAGAGACTGACAGTCGCACACCAACTGACACACAGAGACTGACAGTCGCGCACCGACTGACACACAGAGACTGACAGTCGCGCACCGACTGACACACAGAGACTGACAGTCGCGCACCGACTGACACACAGAGACTGACAGTCGCACACCGACTGACACATAGAGACGGACAGTCGCACACCGACTGACACACAGAGACTGACAGTCGCACACCGACTGACACACAGACAGACGGACAGTCGCACGCCGACTGACACACAGAGACCGACAGTCGCACACCAACTGACACACAGAGACTGACAGTCGCACACCGACTGACACACACAGAGACTGACAGTCGCACACCGACTGACACACAGAGACTGACAGTCGCACACCGATTGACACACAGAGAGACTGACAGTCGCACACCGATTGACACACAGAGACTGACAGTCGCACACCGACTGACACACACAGACCGACCGTCGCACACCGACTGACACACAGAGACTGACAGTCGCACACCGACTGACACACAGAGACTGACAGACACACAGAGATACTGACAGTCGCACACCGACTGACACACAGAGACTGACAGTCGCACACCGACTGACACACAGAGACTGACAGTCGCACACCGACTGACACACAGAGACTGACAGTCGCGCACCGACTGACACACAGTGACTGACAGTCGCGCACCGACTGACACACAGAGAGACTGACAGTCGCACACCAACTGACACACAGAGATTGACAGTCGCACACCGACTGACACACAGACAGACTGACAGTCGCACACCGACTGACACACACAGAGACTGACAGTCGCACACCGACTGAGACTCAGAGACTGACAGTCGCACACCGACTGACACACAGAGATACTGACAGTCGCACACCAACTGACACATAGAGATGGACAGTCGCACACCGACTGACACACAGAGATTGACAGTCGCACACCGACTGACACACAGACAGACTGACAGTCGCACACCGACTGACACACACAGAGACTGACAGTCGCACACCGACTGAGACTCAGAGACTGACAGTCGCACACCGACTGACACACAGAGACTGACAGTCGCACACCGACTGAGTCACAGAGACTGACAGTCACACACTGACTGAGACTCAGAGACTGACAGTCGCACACCGACTGACACACAGAGACTGACAGTCGCGCACCGACTGACATACAGAGACTGACAGTTGCACACCGACTGACACACACAGAGAGACTGACAGTCACACACTGACTGACACACAGTGACTGACAGTCGCGCACCGACTGACACACAGAGACTGACAGTCGCACACCGACTGACACACAGAGACTGACAGTCACACACCGACTGACACACACAGAGAGACTGACAGTCACGCACCGACTGACACACAGAGACTGACAGTCGCGCACCGACTGACACACAGAGACTGACAGTCGCACACCGACTGACACACAGAGACTGACAGTCGCGCACCGACTGACACACAGAGACTGACAGTCGGACCAATAGGCATTTTGATAGATTTGAATGACAGCCAACCAGGGTGTGTAAACAACAAATCATGATCAATGTGAGGGCCCCTGAGACGGTGCAGAGAGATTTCCCAGAATGGTTCCAGGGATGAGGGGCTTCAGTTACTGAGTGAGGTTGGAGAATCTCCTTGGAGCAGGGGGCAGTGAGGGAGATTCGATCGAGGTGTATGAGATTCTGATTGGTACCTGCCTCACAATTCCTCTCAGCTTCTTACCTCCAAGGCACAGATTCCGAACGCAAAAATATCCAGAGCGGTTGTGTCCTTACCCTGACCTAGAAACACAAGGAGGAATAGCAAGAGGCAATGTATGAAAACAGCAAAAAAAGCAAGTTTACCAGCATTTGGTCAATTTCCCTCTAAACCCTTCCTATTCATATACCCATCCAGAAGCCTTTTAAATGCTGTAATCATACCAGCCTCCTCCACTTCCTCTGGCAGCTCATTCCTTACATACACCACCCTCTGTGTCAAAAAGTTGCCCCACAGGTCCCTTTTAAATCTTTCCCCTCTCACCTTAAACCCATGCCCTTTAGTTTTGGTCTCCTCTACCCTAGGGGAAAGGACCTTGGCTACTCACCCTGTCCATGCCCCTCATGATTTTATAAACCTCAATAAGGTCACCCCTCGGCCTCCGACGCTCCTGGGAAAATAGCTCCAGTCTAGGAGACGGTAAAGACTGCAGATGCTGGAAGCCACAGTCTATGGTGTGAGGTTGAAAAAGCACAGCAGGTGAGGCAGCATCAGAGCAGCAAGAATCCTGAGAGAGGGTCTCCACCCAAAACATTGACTTTCCTGCTCCTCTGATGCTGTCTGACCTGCTGTGCTTTTCCAACCTCAGACAATAGCCCCAGCCTATTCAGCCTCTTCCTGTAGCTCAAACCCTCCAACCCTGGCAACATCCTTGTAAATCTTTTCAAGTTTCACAACATCCTTCCTATTGCAGGGAGACCAGAATTATATGCAGTATTCCAATAGTGGCTGAGCCAATGTCCTGTACAGCTGCAACATGACCCTCCCAAATCCTATACTCAATGCACTGACCAATAAGGGCAAGCGTACCGAACACCTTCTTCACCGCCCTGTCTACCTGCGACTCCACTTTCAAGGAACTATGAACCTGCACTCCACGGTCTCTATGTTCAGTAACACTCCCCAGGACCCTACCATGAAGTGTGTAAGTCCTGCCCTGATTTGCCTTTCCAAAATACAGCACCTCACATTTATCTAAAATAAACTCCATCGGCCACTCCTTGGCCCATTGGCCCATCGACCGAGGTCCCTTTGTACTCTGAGGTAACTTCTTTGCTGCCCATAATTTAGGATATCAGGTCGGTATGGATGAGTTGGACCTAAGGGTCTGTTTCTGTGTTGTACATCTCTATGACTCTGTGTGACCATGTGAGTACAGTTATCAATCACAAAGCTCTGGGAGGGTCTTTCCTATGAATAGCGACAGGGGAACTCTGCTCCAAGTGATATCAAAGTAATCGTGGCCTGGTGGGATTACCATGATGCAATATATCCAGAGACCCATGTACTGTCCTGCAGATCCAGGTTCAAATCCTGCCACGGAAGATGGTGGTATTTGAATTAAATGAAAAAAAAATCTGGAATTAAATGATGACCGTGAATCCATTGCCAATTCTTCGGGGAAAAACCCATCTGGTTCACTAATGCCCTTTAGGGAAGGAAACGGCCATCCTTACCTGGTCTGGCCTACATGTGACTCCAGGCCCACAGCAATGTGGTTGACTGTTAAACTGGGCAATAAATAAATGCTGGCCTAGCCAGTGATGCCCTCCCACACAGAGACAAGGAGGGACAGAGAGACACTATTTGACTACAATTGCTGGAAAAACTCAGCAGGCCTGGCAGCATCTGTGGAGAGAAAGCAGAGTTAATGTTTTGGGTCCAGTGACCCTTCTTCACAGCACAGTTTCTAGGGCTTTTGTTTTTGTTTCTGATTTCCAGTTCTTTCAGGTTTTTTTTGTTTATCCAGTCACTCTGAATGGGGCATCTGGTTCTGGTTACTCTGAATATCACGGCCTGCAATATCCCCCACAATTATCATCAGGCCAAGGATCAACTCTGGTTCAATGAAGAGTGTATAAGCCTGCTCTTTGTAAACAGGACAAATCCAACCCGGCCAATTACCGCCCCATCAGTCTCCTCTCGATCATCAGTAAAGTGATGGAAGGTGTCAGTAACAGTGCTATCAAGCAGCACCTGCTCAGAAATAACCTGTTCAGTGATGCCCAGTTTGGAAATAACATTCTTACCTCACAAGTGCCAGGCGATGGTCATCTCCATCTCAACAAGAGAGAATCTAACCACCAGTTCTGTGACATTTGATGGCATCATCACTGAATTTAGCTCTAACTGTGCCCAAGCCTCTTTTCATTTAGTCATGAGATGTGGGTAGTAACGGTCTTGGGTTTGGAAGGTGCTGTCTGAGGATCTTTGGTGAATTTCTGCAGCGCATTTTGTAGATAGTACACACTGCTGCGACTGAGCGTCGGTGGTGGAGGGAGTGGATCTTGAAGGAGGTGTTTGGGATTCTTTGAAGGCAGTTACAGATTTGGCAACCAATCCTTTTTTCTGATTTATCTGAGACAGCAGCATTAATTAATATAAACCTTCTCCAGTAACATTAGCAACCTGCCCACTCCCCACCCCACAAGGAACAGAGTCCCAGCTCCTTTCTGGTATGACCCTTCTACACAGCCCATTTCCCCAAGGACAGTTCCAAGGTCCCACTGATCCAAAGCTCTCTGTCCTGGCCCAACTTTCCTTACACTGATCCCAAGTAATGATCCCAAACTCTGACCTTTCACCCATCCCTGTCCCCAGCTGTAAATGATCAATTCTTCAATGAAGACTCAGTCAGGCTGAGCTCTGTTCCCCTGGGGAGAGCTGTTCCTGCAGCTTCGGGACAAAGTCACATTTCATAGAATCCCTACATTGTGGAAACAGGCCATTTGGCCCATCAAGTCCACAGTGAACCTCCAAAGAACATCCCACCCAGACCTACTGCCCTACCCTATCCCTGTAACCCCACATTTCGTATGGCCATCCACCCTAACCTGTACATCTTCGGACTGTGGGAGGAAACCGGAACACCCGGAGGGAACCCACACAGACACGGGGAGAATGTGCAAACTCAGAGAGTTGCGGAATCGAACCCAGGTGCCTGGCGCTGTGAGGCAGGAGCATTAACCACTGAGCCACCGTGTTACCCATTTACCATCATATTCTGGAGCAAAAAAGTGACGGATCTTCTGCTCTTCCCTGGGACTTCTCAGTGAGGTCTTCGGAGATTCTGCCAGAACTGGGAGCCAAAACGTAAAGATAATTTACCAATAGCCCAAAAATCACAAAGACAGCATCAAAAACCAGTGCTGAATAGATCAGATAACAGAGAGAAAATGAGAGAGGCTGAGAGCGAGGGGTGAGAAAGAGACAGAGGGGAGATGGGGTGCGGGACAGAGAGAGGGAGACAGACAAACAGAGAGGCAGGGACTGAAAGAGACAAAGTCTGAGGCAAACATAGAGATAGAGACAATGAGAGGCAGATAAACAGATGGAGAGAAACAGAAAGAGAAGTAGCAACATGGCTGGAGACATAGACTAAGCAAATGACAGACAGGGAGAGCAAGATAGAGAGAGAGAGTGAGAGACACAGGAAGGACAGAAAGACAGAGTGAGAGACAGAGAGAGAGAATGAAAGGTTGCAGGAGAGGTAGAAAGTGCAGGGAGGAGAGAGAGAGAGATGATGGATTTCATTTGATTATAGTTTTGGATCCTGTTTGATGTCCTTTGTCTTAAGCATTCAATGTTGTTGAGGATATCCATGAGAGAACTGTTCTGAGGAAGGATCACCGGACCCAAAACGTTAACTCTGATTTTTCCTTCACAGATGCTGCCAGACCTGCTGAGCTTTTCCAGCAACTTCTGTTTTAGTTCCACAGAAATCATGGGATTTCTCATCTCTCTGGGAATTACAGAATATGTTCAGAAAGTGGAGTGGATGGTCCCGAGGGATGTGACCTTAATGGATAAGTGAGCAGGTCTGAGGTGCTGCATGCATTAGTCAGTCCTGTCCCTCGTGCTGCTTCACAACAGCAATACACAGACAGAGAGAGGGCTCACCATTTAAACATTTGGGAGTGCCTATTTAAAACAGAGACGACAAAACATTATTTCTCTCAGAGGGTTGAGTGTCTTTAGAATTCCCTTCCTCCAAAAGGAGTGGATGCAGAACCTTTGAATATTTTTAAGGCAGAGGTAGATAGATTCTTGATGACCAAGACGGTGACAGATTATTAGGGATATAGAGTCAAGGTTAAAATGAGGGTCAGCCATGGTCTAATAGAATGGTGGAACAGGATCAAAGGGCTGAGTGGCCTCTTTTCGATTATACAAACAAGGATCGAGAGTAGACTGATGGGGCAGTAATTGGCCGGGTTGGATTTGTCCTGCTTTTTGTGTACAGGACATACCTGGGCAATTTTCCACATTGTCAGGTAGATGCCAGGGCTGTAACTGTACTGGAACAGCTTGGCTCGGGGAACGGCAAGTTCTGGAGAACAAGTCTTCAGTACCATTGCCGGAATGTTGTCAGGGCCCGTAGCCTCTGCAATATCCAATGTCTTAAAACTTTTCTTGATATCACATGGAGTGAATCAAATTGGCTGAAGACTGGTATCTGTGACGCTGGGGACTACTGGAGGAGGGAGAGATGGATCATCCACTCAGCACTTCTGGTTGAAGATTGCTGCGAATACTTCAGCCTTGTCTTTTGCCCTGATGTGCTGGGCTCTTCCATCATTGAGGATGGGGATTTTTGTGGAGCCTCCTCCTCCAGTGAGTTGTCCAGTCACAATTAGACACAAAAGTATGGAAAGTAGGTGCAGGAGCAGGCCATTCGGCCCTTCAAAGAACAAAGAACAAAGAAAATTACAGCACAGAAACAGGCCCTTCGGCCCTCCAAGCCTGCGCCGATCCAGATCCTCTATCTAAACCTGCCGCCTATTTTCCAAGGATCAGAATCTCTCTGCTCCCTGCCCATTCATGTATCTGTCTAGATATATCTTAAATGACACTATCGTGCCCGCCTCTACCACCTCCGCTGGCAACGCGTTCCAGGCACCCACCACCCTCTGCGTAAAGAACTTTCCACGCGTATCTCCCTTAAACTTTTCCCCTCTCACCTTGAAATCGTGACCCCTAGTAATTGAGTCCCCCACTCTGGGAAAAAGCTTCTTGCTATCCACCCTGTCTATACCTCTCATGATTTTGTAGACCTCAATCAGGTCCCCCCTCAACCTCTGTCTTTCTAATGTAAATAATCCTAATCTACTCAACCTCTCTTCATAGCTAGCGCCCTCCATACCAGGCAACATCCTGGTGAACCTCCTCTGTACCCTCTCCAAAGCATCCACATCCTTTTGGTAATGTGGCAACCAGAACTGTACGCAGTATTCCAAATGTGGTCGAACCAAAGAGCCTGCTCTGTCATTTAACATGACCATGGAGGCAGTAAGGACGGCAGATGCTGGAAGCGAGAGTCAATAAACGTGGAGCTGGAAAAGCACAGCCGGTTAGACAGCATCCGAGGAGCAGGAAAGTCAACGTTTTGGGCCAAAACTCTTTGTCAGGACTGAGAAGGGGGAGGGGAGCCCAGAAATAAATAGAGGGGTGGGTGTGGGGGTGGCGTGGGGTTGGGGGGACGGTAGGTTAGATGGTGATATGTAGATGCAGGTAGATGGTGATTGTGGTTGATCAGTGGGAAGGGTGGAGTAGATAGGTGGGTCAGAAGATGGACAGGTTGGGGGAGAAGAGATTGGTGATGGAGGTAGGGCATCACCATCTTCAAAGTCTCTCTACCCTCAACCTGTCCATCTTCCCACTCACCTACCCTCCACCCAGCCCCATCCCCCTCCCTATATTTATTTCTGGGCTCCCCTCCCCAGTCCTGACTAAGGGTTTTGGCCCGAAACATTGACTTCCTGCTCCTGGGATGCTGTCTGACCTGCTGTGCTTTTCCAGCTCCACATTTATTGACTCCACATGAACCTGGCTGATCATCCAACTGAGTCCCCTGTTCCTGCTTTCTCTCCATACCCCTGGGTCCCATTAGCCCTAAGAACTATATCTAACTCTTTCTTGAAAATACTCAATGCTTTAACCTCAGCTGCATTCCCTGGCAGTGAATTCCCCACTCTCTGGCTGAAGGTATTTCTCCTCATCTCTGTCTGAAATGGTTCACCCTGTATCCTTAGACTATGACCACTGGTTCTGGAACATAGCAACATAGAAAGTAGGTGCGGGAGTAAGCCAATTCGGCCCTTTAAGACTGCACCATCTTTCAGTGTGATCGTGGCTGATCCTGCAACCTCAGTATCCCATTCCCACCCTCTCCCCATATCCCTTGATCCCTTTAGCAGCAGGGTCACGACCAGCTCCCTCTTGAATATATCTAATGAACTGGCCCCAATAGCTTCCTGTGGGAGAGAATTCCTCAGGTTCACAACTCTCTGGGTGAAGAAATTCTTCCTCATCTCAATCCTGAATGGCTTACCCCTTATTCTTAGAATATCAGGAACATCCTTCATTCCTGCATTTACACTGCCTAGCCTTGTTAGAATTTTACAGGTTTCTATGAGACCGCCCCGTCCCCCCAACCCACCCCCACATTCTTCTAAACTCCCGTGAGTATGGTCCCAACTGATTCAGTCTCTCCTCATATGTCAGTCCTGCCACCCCAGGAATCAGTCTGGTAAACCCTTCACTGCACTCCCTCCATCACCAGAGCATCCCCTCGATAAGGAAACTAAACCTGCAGACAATACTCCAGATGTGGTTTCACCAAGGCCCTGTATAACCGCACATCCCTGCTCCTGCCCTCAAAACCTCTCACAATGAAGGCCAACATACCATTTACCTTCTTCACCACCTGCTGCACCTGCATGCTTACTTACAGTCCCAGCACCGATCTGAACCATTAGTGTGTACTGTGCATAGCTGGGTACCCCACTAGTCACTGCCTGTGACTTGGGTAAAAGACCTGGTTAGTCCTACTGTCTGTCTCCTGTTTACCAACTCAGTTCTCTCTCCATCTCAGTACACAACCCCAATTCCACCCACTTTCATTTTACACAATAATCTCTAATATGTCACTTTGTCAAAAGCTTTATGAAAGTCCAAGTCAACCATGAGTTCCACGTGATCAGTTCCACTAGTTACATCCTCAAAGAATTCCAGTCGATTTGTCGAGCCTGATTTCCCTTTGGTAAATCCATGCTGACTGTCCAATCTTGTCACTGTTTTCCAAGCGCTTTGCTGCTAAATCTTTTATAATGGACTCGAGTATACTCCCACAATCAATGGGGAGGTGATGGCCTAGTGGTATTATCGTTGGACTGTTAACCCAGAGACCCAGATAACATTCTAGGGACCCAGGTTCAGATCCTGCCACAGCAGATGGTGGAATTTGAATTCAATAAAATATCTGGAATTAAGGATTTAATGATGACCATGAATCCATTGTCGATTGTTGGAAAAACCCACCTGTTTCACTAATGCCCTTTAGGGAAAGAAACTGGCATCCTTACCTGGTCCGGCCTACATGTGACTCCAGGCCCACAGCAATGTGGTTGACTCTGAGCAATTCAGGATGGGCAATAAATACTGCCTAGACAGTGACACCCTCATTCTGTTCATGAATAAAGGATTGTCTGACTCTATGGTCTGTAATTTCTTGATTACATGTTACCTTTTTTAAATAGAGGAGTTACATTAGCTCCCCTCCAATCTGTCAGAACTGTTTCAGACTCTATCGAATCTTGGACAATGACCACCAACGCAGCCATTATTTCTAGAGTATTCCCTTCAATACTCTGGGATGAGGTTTATCAGGTCCTCAAGACTTTTCAGTTTTTAAACCCATTAATTTCCCGGTACAATTTCCTCACTAATTGTGGGGGATCTGCCAATCAACAGTGATTCCCTCACCACCAATGAAGAGTCAGAAATCTGAGAATCCCAGTGAAGAAGTGAGCATGAATAAACACATAAATAAATACTGTGTCTGAATAAAGAGACTTACCATTGGCAAACATCCTGTGCCAGACTGGGACATCATCGGAGAGTCCGGGAATATCAGCAGATCATAGGGAGGGAGGGAGAGAGGTGGGGGGGAGGGGAGAGATAGAGAGAGAGAGAGAGAGGGAGAGGGAGAGGGAGAGACAGAGACAAAGGGAGACAGAGAGAGAGAAAACAGATGGGAGGGAGAGAGAGAAAGACGGGGGGAGAGAGAGAGAGAGCGAAAGGGGGGGAAGACACAGAGAGAGAGAAACAGATGGAGACAAACACAGAGAGAGAGAGGGAGACAGAGACAGGTACACACAGACAGAGAGAGAGCCAGAGGGAAAGATGGATAGAGAGAGAGAGATACAGGGAAACAGAGAGAGAGAATCAGAGTGAGAGAGGGAGAGACAGAGCGAGGGAGAGAGAGTAAGAGAGATGGAGAGAGAGAGGGGTGACAGAAAGACAGAATGAGAGAGAGATGTGGGAGAGACAGCGAGAGACGCAGAGAGGCAGAAAGAATGGGAGAGAGGGAAAAAGAGAGAGGGAGAGAGACAGATGGAGATGAGTAAACGTACAAGTATTTCACTGGGTTATTTTCCTGATGGTTTATGTTTTGACTGGGTTTCAGTGAGTGAGCGTGAGGGTGAGGGTAATGGTGAGGGTGAGGAGGAGGGTAAATCATTGACCAGTTCTGAGCACAGACTGGGACAGGCCAGGAGGAACAGCTGGGTATGACAGGCCTGAGGGAGCCAAGTCACTCCCATCCCATTGGATCCTGCCCGACTGGATCCCGCCCCATTGGATCCTGCCCGACTGGATCCTGCCCCACTGGATCCCACCCAACTGGATCCAGTTTCAGTTCGGCATCTCTCCCAAAATGAGGGTGCAGTTGTGTGGAATTCTAACTGAGGAACGTTCTAACCCATGTGAGCTGGGGTTCTCCATCAGACCCACTGAAGGGGGTAAATGTGTGACTATTAGGCCCTGTCCTTTCCCCTCAGTTCGGGCACAGTCAGGTGAACAGACTGTGTTTACATGTTGATGTAATTTGCTGACAACGATCCTTAAAAAAAGTTTGTTTGTAGCCTCAAAGGAGCTCTGTCCCAAAAATTAAAATGTCAGAAGATTTTTGTAAATTTAACTGGGAATACTTCTTTGTGGGGGAATGAAGGTACACAGGCCGTGTGGGCTGTCCTAGGGCTTGTTGGATGGGCTGAAGGGCCTGCATGGTCCTGTTCCCCGATCCCTGGTAGGACCAGGGGGCATAGTCTTGGAGTAAAGGGGCACCAATTTAACACCGAAATGGGGAGGAATTTCTTCTCCCAGAGGGTTGAGAGTCTTTGGAACTCCTTGTCACAGAGATCTGTGGGGGCAGAGACCTTGTGGATATTTTAGGCTGGGATCAACAGATTCTTGATCAGTCAGGGGATCGAGGATGATGGGGAAAGGGCAGGAAAGTGGAGCAGGCTGAGTGGCCTCCTCCTGTTTCTATTTCTGATGGTGTCCTCCTGTGGAACCCCAGCTCCTCTGTGCTGCCTGCGTTGCGGGTGTAAACTGCTGGCAACAGCTCCCTGTTAACAGCTGCTCTTCCTGATACAGCTGGGGTGAGGGGGGGCATTGGAGTGCACACGGCTCCTCACAACAAGTTGACTGTGTCCCAGACCCCAATCAGGTCCTACCTAGAGACAGGTAGCTTCTGGAAGGAGTTACATAGACCCGAGAGTGTATGAGCAGGAGGTTGTGTGTCATCGCTGAGGCTGTGGAACCAGAGAATGGCAGCGTGAGCAGGAGCAGAGTGAGCTGCTATAAAGGTATCATTGGCTGGTCGTTGTCTGGGTGCAGAGATGTTCTAGCTCCTTCCTCTGGTTCCTGAATGTGAGCCTCAGCTCCTCAGCACTGACACAGAGCTGTCCTCTGTCCCCAAGGAGTCTGTATCTCTATGACAGCCGTCTGTCACCCATGGACAGGTGACTGGGAGAGTCACCCACACCACAAGGTGAACCATCTGCTGCCCAATCAGGGACCCAGATCCCTCCAACCTACCGACAGTCAGGGTGGCAGTGTCAGGCTGCCCAGGAGGACCAGTGGATTGTCCAGGAGAGCGGGTTTATCCCCCAGGGACCAAGCAGGAGTCTGGGACACTTGACCCTGATGGAGAGAACCTCAGACAGGATCCCTCAGCACCTACACCAGAGAGAGCCAGATCGAGCCTGAGCCCTGAATGTGTCTGGATGTGAAGCAAGGGGCTGCTCTCTCTCATACAGGGCTGTTTCCAGACTCCCCAGCAAGGAGAGGGGGCGGGGGAAGGGTAAAGGTGGAGGGGGTGACTGGAGGAGTTGCGGGAGGGTAGGAGATGAGGGGCGAGGGAAGGAGGCAAGGGGCTGGTGTGTAGGGAGTGGAACCCTCATTCAGATCCTGCAGGAGTGCACTCCCAGGACCTCAGGCATTGCCATTCGTCAGTAACCTCCCCGCAGCTTTGCTCTCTCTCCATACGCCCACCCCCCCACCCCACCCCACCCCCAGCAGGGCTGTGTCCTCCTCAGGCTGACCAAGTTGTGACTCCAGGTCCAGCATCTGCTTCTCCAACTCCTCGATCCTGGAGTTCTGTCTCTTGTTCTGCTGGCAGAGTCTGGCCCACATTCCTGTGTAGCCTCATGGAGGGGAAAAACCTCAGCGGGTCATTCAATCCTCAAGCCCCTTAGCAATGATAGGGCAGGCTCGGCATCAGGGGAACATCCATTGCCTTCCTCAGCAGACTCCCAACGCCTCATCGACACAGACCTTCCTGACCCCGAGCACACAGGACTATGTCATTGGCACCCAAACAGGGAGGAAATGGGGTAGGTGAGCAGGGAGACAGGTGGGTGAGAGCGGAGTAGGGTGTGTGAGGGGGTTAATAATTGGGTAGGTGAGGGGGATAAAGGGGTAGGTGAAGAGAGAGTGGTGTAGATGAGGGGGGATTGGGGTAGGTGAGGAGGGAATGGGGTAGGTGAAGGGAGGGTGGGGTAGGTAAGGAGGGAATGGAGTAGGTGAAGGGTGAATGGCGTAGGTGAGGGGGTAATGTGGTGGATGAGGGGTAACGTGATAGGTGAGGGGTAATGTGGTAGGTGAATGGGTAATGGGTAGGTGAGGAGAGGATGGGGTAGGTGAGGGGATGTGGGATGTGTGTGGGGGTAATGGGGTGGGTGAGGGGGTAATATAGAACATAGAACATAGGTCAGTACAGCACAGTACGGGCCCTTCGGCCCACAATGTTGTGCCGAACTTTTACCATAAATCTAAGGTCTATCCAACCTCCACCGCTACCTTATTCTATCATCCATATGCCTATTGAAGAGCCGCTTAAATGCCCCTAATGAGGCCGACTCCACTACCCTCTCCAGCAATGCATTCAATGCCCCTACCACTCTCTGAGTAAAGAACCTACCTCTGACGTCTCCCCTATATCTACCTCTACTCACTTTAAAACTATGCCCCTTCGTAATAGCTACCTCCACCCGAGGAAAAAGTCTCTGGCTGTCTACTCTATCTATACCTCTGATCATCTTGTACACCTCTATCAAGTCACCTCTCATCCTTCTTCGTACTAAAGAGAAAAGCCCTAGCTCTCTCAACCTGTCCCCATAAGACCTTCCCTCCATTCCAGGCAACATCCGGGTAAATCTCCTCTGCACCTTTTCCAACGCTTCCACATCTTTCCTGTAATGAGGCGACCAGAACTGGACACAATACTCCAGATGTGGCCGAACCAGGCTTTTGTATAGCTGGAGCATAACTTCACGGCTCTTGAACTCAATCCCTCTATTAATGAAAGCTAACACACCATACGCCTTCTTAACAACTCTATCCACCTGGGTGGCAGCTTTCAGGGAACTGTGGACATGAACCCCAAGATCCCTTTGCTCCTCCACACTGCCAAGAATCTTTCCGTTAACCCTGTATTCTGCTTTCAAGTTTGTCCTTCCAAAATGAATCACCTCACACTTTTCAGGGTTAAACTCCATCTGCCACTTCTCAGCCATCACTTCTCAGCCCAGCTCTGCATCCTATCAATGTCCCTTTGTAACCTAGAACAGCCCTCCGCACTGTCCACAACGTGACCCACCTTCATATTGTCCCCAAACTTACTAATCCACCTTCCACTCCATCATCCAAATCATTTACAAAAATCACAAATAGAAGAGGACCCAGAACAGATCCTTGTGGAACACCACTTGTAACTGAGCACCATGTTGAATATTTTCCGTCCACTACCACCCTTTGTCTTCTAAGGGTCAGCTAATTCTGAATCCAATCTGCCACATTTCCCCCTGTCCCATGCCTCCTTACCTTCTGCATGAGCCTACCATGGGGAACCTTATCAAACGCCTTACTTAAATCCATGTATACCACATCCACTGCTCTACCTTCATCCACGTGTTTGGTCACCTCTTCAAAGAATTCAATAAGGTTTGTGAGGCATGATCTACCCCTCAAATCGATGCTGACTGTCATGAATCAAACTGTGCCTTTCCAAGTGATCATAAATCCTATCTCTCAGAGCCCTTTCCAATAATTTGCCCACCACTGATGTAAGACTAACTGGCCTGTAATTTCCGGGGTTATCCCTATTCCCTTTTTTGAGCAAGGGAATGACGTTCGCCTCTCTCCAATCTTCCGGCACTATACCCGTGGACAGTGAGGATGAAAAGATCATCGCCAAAGGCCCTGCGATCTCTTCCCTCGCTTCCCATAGAATCCTTGGATAAATCCCATCAGGCTCGGGGGACTTATCTATCTTCAAGTTCCTGAAAATTCCGAGCATATCTTCCTTACTAACATCGACCTCCTCTAGCCTACCAGCCTGTTTCACACTGTCCTCCTCTACAACTAGGACCCTCTCAGTTGTGAATACTGAAGAAAATTATTCATTAAGGACCTCTTCTATCTCTTTAGGCTCCGTGCACAAATTCCCTTTACAATCCTTGATCAGCCCTACCCTTTCTCTGGTCATTCTCTTATTTCTCATGTACGTGTAAAAAGCCTTGGAGTTTTCCTTGATCCTATCTGCCAAGGTTTTCTCATGCCCCCTTATAGCTCTCCTAAGCCTTTTCTTCAGTTCCTTCCCGGCTAACTTGTATCCCTCTAAAGCCTTCCCCGTTCCTTGTTTCCTAAACCTTACATAAGCATCCTTCTTCCTCTTAACGAGTCATTCGACCTCTCCTGTGAACCATGGCTCCCTCACTCGACCGCATCTTCCCTGCCTGCTAGGGACAAACATATTGAACACACACAGTATGCATTCCTTAAACAATCTCCACATTTCTGTGGTGCTCTTCCCTGACAGCATCTGTTCCCACTTTATGTTACCCAGTTCTTGCCGAACAGAATTGAAATTACCCTTCCCCCAATCATAAACCTTATCCTGCTGTATGTACCTGTCCTTTTCCATGACTATTGTAAAAGTAACAGTTATGATCGCTACTGCCAAAATGCTCTCCTCCCAACAGGTCTAACACTTGGCCCGGTTCATTGCCAAGCACCAAATCCAAAGTGACCTCTCCTTATGTTGGTCTATCTACATACTGTGTCAGGAATCCTTCCTGAAATCACTGGACAAAATCCGCTCCATCTAAACTATTACAACTAAAATGTTTCCAATCAATATTTGGAAAGTTGAAGTCACCCATGACTACAACCCTGTAACTTCTGCACCTTTCCAGTACCTGCCTCCCAATCCACTCCTCCACTTCTCTGCAACTATTAGGGGGTCTGTAAAAAACCCCCAACAAAGTGACTGCTCCTTTCTTGTTCCTGACCTCAACCCAAACTGACTGAATAGACATATCATTCTCGAACTGCCTTTCAGTAGCTACTATACTAGCCCTGACTAGCGATGCCACTCCCCTGCCTCTCTTTTTTTGGGTAATGGGGGCTGAGGTGGTAATAGGGTGGGTGAGGGGATAGTGGGGTGGGTGAGGGGGTAGTGGGGCGGGTGAGGGGGTAATGGGCGGGTGAGGGGGGGCAGACTGCATATATTACCTGATCCGATCTTGATGAGACCATTGTGTTGAATGAAGATGGTGTCACAGGTCAGTGTCCCATGAATGAGGGGGGGCTCCCAGGCATGTAGATAACTGAGGGATTGGATACAAATTCAGACATTAATCCATCACCCCACCCCAGGGAACAGAACACTCCCCACACTCTATCTCCCTGATTGTACAATACACAGTGAAAAAGCCCACCCGACACTCAATACAATATTCACTCCGGGACCTGGGTGTCACTGGCTGGGTCAGCATTTATTGCCCATCCCTAGTTGCCCCTTGAGAAGGTGGTGGTGAGCTGCCTTCTTGAACTGCTGCAGTCCTCCTGCTGTAGGTTGGCCCACAATGCCCTGAGGGAGGGAATTCCAGGATTTTGACCCAGTGACAGTGAAGGAATGGCAATATATTTCCAAGTCAAGATGGTGAGTTACTTGGAGGGGAATTTGGAGGTGATGGTGTTCCCATGTATCTGCTGCCCTTGTCCTTCTGGATGGGAGTGGTTGTGGGTTTGGAAGGTGCTGTCTGAGGATCTTTGGTGAATTTCTGCAAAGCATCTTGTAGATCGTACACACTGCTGCTACTGAGCGTCGGTGATGGAGGGAGTGGATGCTTGTGGATGTGGTGCCAATCAAGCGGCTGCTTTGTCCTGGATGGTGTCAAACTTCTTGAGTGTTGTTGGGGCTACACCCATCCAGACAAGTGGGGAGTATTCCATCACACTCCTGACTTGTGCCTTGTAGATGGTGGGACAGGCTTTGGGGAGTCAGGAGGTGAGTTACTCGCTGCAGGATTCCCAGCTTCTGGCCTGCTCTTGTAGCCACTGTGTTAATGTGGTGAGTCCAGTTGAGTTTCTGGTCAATGGTAACCACCAGGATGTTGATAGTGGGGGATTCAGTGATGGTAACACCATTGAGTGTCAAGGGGCAGTGGTTAGATTGTCTCTCATTGGTGATGGTCATAGCCTGGCATTTGTGTGGCGTGAATGTCACTTTCCACTTGTCAGCCTGAGTCTGGATATTGTCCAGATCTTGTTGCATTTGAACATGGACTGCTTCAGTATCTGAGGAGTCACGAATGGTGCTGAACATTGTGCAATCATTGGCGAACATCCCCACTTCTGACCTTATGATGGAGGGAAAGTCATTGATGAAGCAGCTGAAGATGGTTGGGCTGAGGACACTCCCTTGAGGAACTCCTGCAGAGATGTCCTGGAGCTGAGATGATTGACCTCCCACAACCACAACCATCTTCCTATGTGTCAGGTATGACTCCAACCACTGGAGCGTTTGCCCCCTGATACCCATTGATTCCAGTTTTGCTCGGGCTCCTAGATGCCACATTTGCTTGAATGCAGCCTTGATGCCAAGGGCTGTCACTCCCACCTCACCTCTGGAATTCAGCTCTTTTGTCCATGTTTGAACTAAGGCCGTAATGAGGTCAGGAGCTGAGTGGCCCTGGCAGAACCCAAACTGGGCGTCACTGAGCAGGTTATTGCTGAGCAGGTGCTGCTTGATAGCGCTGTTACTGACACCTTCCATCACTTTACTGATGATCGAGAGGAGGCTGATGGGGCGGTAATTGGCCGGGTTGGATTTGTCCTGTTTTTTGTGTATAGGACAAACTGGGCAATTTTCCACATTGTCGGTTAGATACCAGTGTTGTAACTGCACTGGAACAGCTTGGCTCCGGGAGCGGCAAGTTCACACAAGTAATCCTGTTTGGTGGCTTCACCAGGTTGATACCTCATCTTTAGGTATGCCTGATGCTGCTCCTGGCATGCCCTCCTGCATTCTCCATTGAACCAGGGTTGATCCCCTGGCTTGATGGTAATGGTTGAGTGGGGGATATACCGGGCCATGAGGTTACAGATTGTGCTGGAGTACAATTCTGCTACTGTTGATGGCCCTTAGCACCTCATGGATGCCCAGTCTTGAGTTGCTAGATCTGTGCGAAGTCTGTCCCATTGAGCACGGTAATAGTGCCACACAACACGATGGAGGTTGTTCTCAATGTGAAGTCGGGACTTTGTTTCCACAAGGACTGTGCGATGGTCACTCTTAGCGTTACTGTCATGGACAGATACATCTGCAGTTGGCAGATTGGTAAGGATGAGGTCAAATATGTGTTTCCCTCTTGTTGGTTCCCTCACCACCTGCCGCAGACCCAGTCTAACAGCTATGTCCTCTAGGACCCAACCAGCTTGATCAGTAATACTGTTGCCGAGCCACTCTTGGTGGTGGACATTTACATTTTATTTGCAGGATTTATTCACAGGATATGGGCTTTATTCACTGGATCACCATTTGTTACCCCCCACAAAGGGCAGTTCAGAGTCATATTGCTGTCATGAGCAGACCAGGTAAGGATGGCAGACATCATTCTTTAAAGGCTATGAGTGAAGGAGGTTTTTTTTTTCAAACAATCAACAAATGTTACATGGTCATCATTAGATTGTTAATTCCTGAATTTTATTTAGGGGCAGCACAGTGGCTCAGTGGTTAGCATTGCTGCCTCACAGCATCAGGGACCCGGGTTTGATTCCACCCTTGGGCGACTGTCTGTGTGGAGTTTACAAGTTCTCCTTTTATCTGCTCCAGTTCCCTCCCACTGCCCAAATATGGGCAGGCTGGGTGGATTTGCGATGAAAAATGTAGGGTTTCAGGGATAGGGATTCTCTTTGAAGAGCTGGGATGGGTTGAATGGCCTGCTTCCACACTGTAGGGATTCTTCTGAATTCAAATTCCACCAGCTGTTGCGGCAGGATTTGAACCTGTGTCCCTAGAACATTTTCTGACTGTCTGGATTAATATTCTGGCAATAATACCACTGGGCCATCGCTCCTCTTCTGCTATTTTGCCTTCTGTTCTTACAATCATCAGAGTTTCTAGCTTCCAGATAATCTAGCACACAGCCCTGACAAACTCCTGCAGAGATGTCCTGGAGCTGAGATGACTGACCCCAAACAACCACGACTATCAAAGTCAGATAATTTAGAAGGACAGACCTGAACCTAATCTTTACAGGATTCAGAACATTCTGGAAGCACCCAGCTGATCATGTGTCTCCAAATCAACACCCGCTCTCCCAGTTTGTTCTCATATCCATGACCAAAGTGAATGGCCACAGTATATGGGGCTATCAGGCAGAGAGGGAGGAGAGTTACAGACAGACCAGGATGTACCTGCTGCATTGCTGCCCGGGGATGTCTGCTGGAGAATCTGTCAGACCCAACAAAGAGAAAGAAGACAAATGACTAACCTGAGAGCAGATAGGATCTGGGTACACCATCGTCGCCAGGCCTGTGGGCAGGAACACAGAGAGGAGGCAAAGGATGCAGAGACAGAGACACTCTCACACACACTCCCTCCCTCCCTCTGTCTCTCACACACACTCCCTCCCTCCCTCTGTCTCTCACACACACTCACTCCCTCCCTCTGTCTCTCACACACACTCACTCCCTCCGTCTCTCACACACACTCCCTCCCTCCCTCTGTCTCTCACTCACACTCCCTCCCTCCCTCTGTCTCTCACACACACACACTCCCTCCATCTCACACACACACACTCCCTCCATCTCACACACACACACACACACACTCTCCCTCTCACACACACACACACAATCTACCACACACACACACACACACACACTCTCCTTCTCACATTCACACACACACACACACACACACACTCTCCTTCTCACATTCACACAC